CTTTCCAAAAACCAGCCGTTCTGAGGTTTTCTAAAAAGAAGGACCCCTGGAAATGGAAGGTACCCCTAGAAAACCAACCGACTCTCACCGTGAACCCAACGTGAGCCCCAATCAAAACCCGGGTAGATGAAGGTTAAAGGGACAGCTGCGGAAATGTGCCTTCTTAATTCTTTACATGGTTCTGGGGGATCGACCATTTTGATACCGGGTTTTGAGTGCGACCCACGTCGGGTTGGGTTTCCATAGGCGTGGGCTTGAGCACGGTGGAGCGGAAGCCGCTGCACGTGGCGGCGAGCTGTGGGCACGGGGACTTGGCGCAGATGCTGCTGGACTTCAAGGCCGACGCTTTGGAGGACCCAAGCGGTCCATGGGACGGTGGGTGGGGGTGGGGTGGGGTGGGTAGGTGTGGGTCGGGTGGGTAGGTGTGGGTGTGGGTGGGTAGGTGTGGGTGGGGTGGGTGTGGGTAGCTGTGGGGTGGGTGGCTGTGGGTGGGGTGGGTGGGGTGGTGGGGTGGGTGGGGTGGTGGGGTGGGTGTGGGGTGGGTGGGGTGGTGGGTGGGTGGGGTGCGTGGGTGGGTGTGGGTGGGCGGGTGATTGGGGTGGGTGAGTACATGACAAAGGCGCAAGGATGGCCGACATTGGTTTCGCAGCAGGGGTAATTTTTCACAAGCACGGGCTGTCTCCTTGGGCAAGCTCAGTTGAAACCAACCCAAAAAAGGGTTCCATCCCAAAAGGAAAACAGAAGCAGATCAGACTTCTTGTTGGGTTTCGGGAGCCCTTTTTGGTTGATTTTTGGGTACCTCAGGGTGGTGTGTAGGTGGGTGAACGTGTCGGTGTCTGTGTCTGTGTCGTGTTTGCGTCTGTGTCTGTGTGGTGTGTCTGCGCGTCCGTGTGTTTGTTTGTGCGTGTGGGGTCTTTCCAGCCGATCCGAAGGATTCCGATGGTTTGCATGAACTTCTTGGTTTCAGTATGTTCTAGTGGTCCAAGGGCCTCAATCACATACAGGGTTGGACGCATGAGAGATATGCAATACACACTCATATTTAGAAGGGGATTCCAGGGGACCTCAGGTACATGGTCGACAAGACGAACGCGGCGTTTGACCATGCCTCAAATGCTTCCGGCGTCGGCAGGAGGATGAGAATCGACAGCGGCCGGTGGTGAAGCTGACACGCGCGATGGAAGGACCGGAGTGAACCGTGACCAACGGGCAGTGTAGCCGGATTTGAGGGTTTTAACGGGGCGGTTGGGGGGGGGGGGGGGACGGTTTTGATGGGTCCTCAATATGTGAAAAGCGTTCACGTGCTCTTCTCCCACAGTTTGGGGCTGAGCTGTCCATGTTGGTTGGTTTGCCACAGTTGGTTCAGAGGTCCGAGCTTCTAACAGCCCTTTTGGGAAATTAGTAGGTGTTTGTTGGGATTGCCTCAAAAAGCGGGGGGCCCGATTTTGGGTGGCCGCAGGCCGCAGGGGTGTGCTTGTTTTTGAGGATATCCTCTTTGGAGTTGGTTTCACGGGGGTTCCCAGCAGCAAACTACCCTTTTTCAGGTCCTCCGTAAGCGGCATGCCCACAGCCCCCAGTTTGCTGAAACCGAAGAAAGTGCCTGGCCCAAGAATCCTTGGCAGGCAAGATGCGGGGCTTGCAAGCCAGGGTGGCCCAGTTGGAGGCGCTTCTGGATGATGGGACTGCTACCCAGCGGCAGCTTTTTCGCGTTCCCCTTTTTGCTCCCTGTAACTTCAACGGGGGGCCATGAGTTTTTGTTTTTAAAAACAAAACAAAAAAACAAAGCAAAGCAAACAACCATCCTAAATTGAATCTCGACCCCAACAACTTCAATTGAACGGACCAGATTGTGCACAAAGGACAAAGAAACAGCGGGCACTTCAAGCGCGCGAAACTCAGGAAAGGGGCGCGAGGGTGTTTGGGGCTTGTTTGATGAAGGTGCCTGGCACAGCTTTTAACCGTGAAATGGGTGTGGGTCAAAATCAAACCACCAGGGGACTGCATGTTTTAGTCTTTGTTTCCATTTGGGTTCCATTTTGGGTACCTATTTTTGACCCACACCCAAATGCCAAGCAGAATGGAATGAATAGGAGAAAGGAAAACATGCGGCATATCAATCACAACGCATCGGAAAGCGAGTAGGGACGTGCATTGGATGAGGATTCAGAAGGGGGCGGGGGCGGGTTCGGGTTTCACCGTTCCTGTTGCCAAGCCAGCTTCGCCCTGCAGAGACGAGGCCTGAACTGTGGTCATCCTGCAAAAACAGCATGTGCCTTTTTGAAAGGGGAGGCAGCGGCGCGCCGCTTCCACTAACCCCACCAGGGCCAAGTTCTCCTTGTCTGGTCAATGCTGGGCACCTCGTTTCGCCAAATTCCAAAAGCTTTGGCCCCGAGAGGATTTGCACACCTGCGCGCAAAGTGTGAGTGGTGAGAGCACCAAAAGTCAGCCGAATGCAACCGGCGACTCATTCTTAAAAGCAAGTTGAGCACAGATGAATTCTCGGAGCAGCCAATGGGTGTGTTCGAATCCAAGTCTTTATTGCTGGTGTTCAGGAAATCATTGGGATTCGTAGCAGACCTAGCTGGTTGGCACCCCACGAGCACAACCACAAGTCCATTTCCCTGGTGGCATTTGTATCAACTGCCGGAAATGCCTGAGGAGCCCCAGCTGGCAAAAGAGAAATGGACGCCTATCCAAGTCCAAGCACCGCACCCCACAAATGCAGTGCCAGCATGATGGAAAACGCCGCTTTGCTCTTGGCCCCAACTCAAAGCTCAACTAGTCCGCCTCAAGCAGCCTGCATGATATTGCCCGAGAACATCCGCAAATCCACGAACACTGCGCGCAAATCATGCGCAAGCACTTCAAAAACATACGGGACACTGGCTTGTCCTGTCTGAAACGTTTCATGTCGACTTTTTGCTGAGTTCTTCCGATTTCTCACTTTGTTCATTAATTCTCACCTTGTTCATTAATTTCTCACTTTGTTCGTTCTTCGGTACATTCTGGTCGTTTTCTCCAGTTAATTCCTGACGTTGACCCAAGCAAGGGTTTCCCTTGCCCCCCTACACTTCCCTGGGTGCTAGATAGCCCGTATACAAAAACATGATTTACCCAAACAGTGGATGGGTCCCTGTTGACTTCTCTTGAGACCAAGCTGAATGGCTACTCTACAAAACATCACAGTGGTTGGCAATTGTTTAGGTTTCATTTTGCTGCAAGAAGCACCGGTTTTTTTGCTACCATACCAAGGGTTGTAAACAAACCTCACACTGAGTTCCCAACTGAGGCTAGCCCTGGGTCCTCCCTGGGGACACGGATCCTGGTCCCCAGCCAGCCTCCGCGCGGGAAGCGGCCGGGCGGCCCCAAGCTGATGGCGCGCTACGATGCGCTGCTGCACGACTCCCGGTGAGGCGCAGGAAATGGACGGAATCCACTTCGCACCTAAGAACCCCTGGAATGATGATTCGCCCTTACCAAGGAATGGTTTCCCGTGGGTTCAAAGTGCCCACAGTATACGGGCACAACTCGACTGGGGTTGCTGCGGGTGAAGACGAAGATACAGGAATGATCATGGGCGACGAATATTTGTAATTATGTGGCTCCTCGTGACTTGGCTGATCTTTTGGCGTGGAAATCGAAACTGACGTTTGATGTTACGACTTCTTCCTGGGTCTAAGTCGAGGACCAGGTTGACATGGAGTTGGTGGATTGGGATATTTTGGCTCAGAAGGGAAGCGGCGTTAAATCCACCACAAACTAGAAGGTCCCCTTGCCGATTCAGCAAGCACCAAACTCATCCTCCTCCAGGTAGCGTGTGGGGCCGCAAGTGAAGTCTCTGGAGACATGCATCGGAGCAGGCGCCAGTTTCAATCGCTTGGCCAGAGAGATCAAAACCTCCCTGTCCAAACGGGCCGTGTCAGAAGATGCACAGCCGCCGTATCTGAGTGAGAAACACAGCCAGCTGACATTAGCCTGCCACTGAGAATGCTTTGCTAACCCAACATATGCTTGGTGTGCTTGGTGTGCTTGTTTCATCACCCCATCTTCTGGCTTTTGGCTGTGCACATATGGACTTTGCGGATGAGCGCTCAGCCGCAAGTGGTCTAACGACCAGGAGGGTTGCAGCTGACATCTGCCCCGAGCCATCGATATCGATGTATTGCTGAGCGTCTACAAGCATCGCTTCATCAGTCCGATGATGTCAGCTGCATCCCGGTTTGCCAATGCCTCACCCTCTCGCTTAATGGATGTGAATTCCGTGCCTGGGATGTTTCCTGGCACCTCGACTCATTCCGTGGTGCCAGGAGAAAGCACTTGGCGCACTGCACGGTTTTATCACGTTTATCCTTTCTAGGCTTCCACATGCATGCCTTTTACGGGGTCTTCAAGCTGGTAAAGAGCATCCAATCGGTGCTGACATGGCGATGTGTCAAAATTAAGGTTAGGGCCCGTTTGAATGGTGTCCTCTTTGGGTTCCTTGATACATGTGCGGTCTCAAGGGTCCATTGCTATGCCCAAGCTTCCACAGAACCCCACCGTTTTCAAGTGTACATGGGCTTGGGGCGGGACGACGTGAGACCAGCGTCACAAATTGAACAGGGGCCATATACCCCGATGAAAACACCGACCACGATACTGCTCAATGGTTCAGTGCTTGGAGGCTCGAAAGCCCGTAGTGAACATCCCAATCCCCACTATAGACTACCCCAGAATGGGTGGCCATTGACCCACAGCCATTGGTGGTTCGAAGGGGGGCGAATTGCAATTTGCAGAGACAGGAGAAGTTCCCCTATGTTCCGATGCGTCCAAGCTCCCGGTCGGTGGTTGATTTGGCCTCCTTTTTGTTGACACCCTCCAACTGTACATAGTTTCAGGGACAGTGGGACAGATGGGGCCGTTTTCTCCCCTTTGTAGGGGATGCCAAGCCGAGCGTGTGTGTCGGTTCAGGCGCGGTGCGGTTGGGCGCGAGAGCCCGGGATGTTTCGAGCTTTTCGGAGGTCACCAACCTGGTGAAGCGCAAGGGGGACGCGGACGAGAAGCTGCGGGGACTCACGGTGGTGTCCACGGACATGGGCAAGTGCGCCCCAAAAACCAACGGGTGAGCCTCCCTCACTCCCCGCATGGCGCCTGACAGTGGGTCCTGAGGAGAGGGAAATGTGTTGATCTTCCAGAAACCCTCCCGCGGTGGCTATGATATATAGAAAACAGGGGGTCCCGAGGAGAGGGAAAAAATGGATCTTCCGGAAACTCCTCCCAGAAATGCTATGGTGGGAGGAGGGGTAGATAGAGGTAGTGTCGAGTTCTGAGCAGCTTGACCCCAAGGGGTTCGTTCCCCGTTGTATATAATGGAGATGCCTTTCTTCCAGACACTTTTTTGATACATAACGGGGGGGGGTTATGAGTTTCAGGGTCGACATGATGGGCCAGCCAAAGGCCACTTCGAGATTTCGCGAGAAACTTCAGGGGCTCTTGGCATTGATGGGGGGGGGGAAGCACCAAGGTGCACAATGGGCATCACACCTGTAAAGACAGGCAACTGAGACACAGATCACGGCCCAGAGCGTCCTATTGAGATATATTACCATCCACACTCCAGAAGGGTTCCCTGAAAGTCCGAACTTCCGCTTAGTGGATTCCCGTATTGCAAGATTTGCCACATGAGTGACTACCCTCCCACCAACTAACATGGAAGTGCAAAAAGGCCCTTTCCAAGAGGAAAAGAGTCTTTCTACAGGGGTCTGTGCACTTCCATGTTAGCTGGTGGGAGGGTACGGGGTGTTCAACTTGTTTTGTGCAGGAGCAATTGCGTAGGTACAAGGAGATGACGCCCCAGCAGCTGATGAAGCAGCTGGAGAAGACCAACAAGGCTGTTTGGAGAGTCTAGCTTGGATATATAGTTTGACAGTCGTATAGCCTAGCTCTCCCAGCTAGGTGCCCTTTCTCACTCCTTTTTTGGTTGGGAGGGTTCCCCTACCAAAATAGACTACAGAAAAAGCAAGTTGGTACCCTGATTCTAACCTCTCTACTGCAAAACCTAGTAGATGTTTGGATAGTTTCAACGAGCCAAGAGAAGACCTCCAATTTGGAAAGGGAGTAGACAGCAGCCGCGGCCCATGTTAGAGGCGCAGTCCCAGTGGCCGTGGGAAAAGCGCTTTTAGGGTTTGAACCTCAAGCTCCAAAGGCGCTTTTGGCTTTGGCTTTTCGGGGGACGTCTTTGTAGGGTCATGTTGTGTGAGAAGTCCATTCTTATTCTCGAGAGTCTCGCATTTTGTTTCCTTGAATTTTATGGTGGAGTTAAGACATCTCAAGTTGTTTCTATTTCTCGAGCTTCTGGGTGGTAATTACGAACGCAACCCGAAGAGTTGCCATGGGCATCCATGGGGCGGCTAACGCCGCCAGCACCTTGTGTTGTTTACTAGCGGCAAGGAACACGGTGAATTCTCCGGGCTAAGAACCCCAGCAAATATGGCCATGGGGGTTGTTAAAACGCGAGACCACAGGAAACCAATCAAAAAACGCGGCGTCCCCTTCCAAGACCGACCTGAGCGCTTCGAAGGGGGGACCAAGCACCATGAAGCGGAGTGCTCCCCAAGCCCTGTTGCGGTCATTTGCAAAGGATGGGACTCGCCCAGCAACCATCACATGACATATGTACGGCAAAACTTCACATTCAGATGAACAAGTCTCGTTGCGCTTGCATACATGAATGCATCTTGGATTTCTGGGAAGCATGTGTGTTCTTGGATGGTCCACTCTGTTCGATGCATGTGCGAAGCTTTGACTTGCCAGGGTCTCAGCAAATACGAGCACGTGAACAAGAAGGCCATCGACCAGCCAGGGGCTCAGTGATACAGGCGCCCCGCGAGCCGCGAGGCGTGCAGGCGGCCTTGGTGACAGCGACGCCTAGAGTAGGTCAGTTTGGCTCGGCATGAGTTCCAGTGGTTTCCGTATGGCATGTGAAAGACACATTGGCATTTCGAGTGAAAGCTGTTGCTGCAATCTTCCCTGGAGGGTGATATCATCCGCTGCTAAATGATCGATCACTTTTCGGGGTCCCCAGTTTGGTCAAGTTATCAAAACCCACGGGTTTCACGAGCTGACAACTCATCGTTGGCAACGCTTTCTTGCCGTTTCATGATTCTTTTCGTTCAGCTTTTGTCTTTTTCTGTCAGAAAGTGGGGAACCCTGGAGATCTGGAGTGTAAAGGCTTCGCTCTCTAGGCTTGGACAGCATCAGTTGGTCAAGCTCGCAGGTTGCGAAAATAAGTTGACATGTGTCGAAGCACACATTTCCCTGCCTGGCGGCTGAATTATACTGGGCGCCGCCTTTGGATGTGTTAACGACAGCCTTGGTCCATGTTTACTCCTGGCAACCAAACATAGACACACGCGCGAATCATTTGTGGCAGCCATGTCATGTTGATGGCTAAATGTCCATTCAGTCTTGCTCGATGGCAATCACAAATGAGTGGCCTTACTTCCAACACCTACCAAAGAGGGGTCCGATACATGTTGGGCACCTGTTCCACCCCTGCCTTTGAAAAGAGTATTCGCAAGTTGTTTTTCTTCTTCTTTTTTCTCGAAATGGTCGCTTTTCCTGGGCAGCGAAAGGGTGTGCGGGAACGGGGTTTGTCATTTACGTCCCGAAAGGGTCGCGAAATGGCCTGCCTACGAATGTATTCCTGTGTCGAAGGCGAAAACCATCTTCCAGAAGAGGCCCATTTCAGGCAAGCCCTTTCGGTTGGCCCGAGAATTAGCGGTAGCCCAAACTCCCCTCATGGGCGGGGGGTTCCAAGGGATGCACAAATCAACTTAGATTGGCTTCTGCATGCCGTACTTAAGCTTGGTAAAAGATTCAGCGTACCCAATCCGCGAAAGCGACGAGAAAGCAGTTGCCTCATCAACACCTCTCGCACAAGGAACATCTTATGCCGCGACAGCTCCGCGAAAGCTCCGCGAAAAGGAACTTGATATATATATATATATATATATATATTTGTTTTTTTGGCTGCAGGGTTTAGAACACCGCTCATGTGGGTGATTCTTGCAATGGGGCCTATTTGGAACACCCTGTTGCAGAAGCCAAAGGGGGCCCTCTATCCAAAGAGCAGACTTTTGCACATCACATCGTCAAACTGATGGCCCCCAGGCTGCCCTGGTGCACATTTGAATGGCCCCTAATTTGAGCCACAATCAAAACAAGGGTAGATGAAGGTTAGTAAGGGACGATCCCAACCCATAAACAGCTGCGGGAATCCGCCTTCTTGGTTCTTTACATGGTTCTGGGCGCACCATTTTTGCACCGGGTTTTGATGATGACTCGCTTGACTCCCCAGATCTCTGGATGCTAAGGGTCCCTTGGGTTTGGGTCTTCGCGCGCCTTGCCGAGCTGCTTGCCTTTCTTGGGGCTGAGTTGGATCCACGGATTGGGGCCTCTCATGGCTCCTTTCACGGGTCCCTTGGGTCCCTTCAGAACCTTTCTGGGGCCTTTCATGGGCAACAGCCCCTTTTCGCGCGAACGAACACGTGTCGGGTTACCATGCAATTTTTGGACCCGCTCATCAAGCTGGTGGATGTGCAGGGTCGCGTGTCCCAAAGACAGGGCTCTCCTCTAGAGTCCCAAATTTCGAGAGGGATATATAAATCCAGGTTGAACCATAGTTGGGCGCATAAAACCATAGTTGTTCGTGGTTCCCCATGTTTCTCCCCTCCCACCCACCAAAAAATTGGTCCCTCACTGGCGCCGGAGCATTTTTCCCAGACCCGCGCAAACCGCGGCAGATGCTCGAAGCGGTGAGGTACACCACCTTCACGGACCAGCTCCAGGAGCCTGGCGCCTGGTGCCGGCGCGAGGGGGGTTTGCGGTCGGCTCTTTGGAGACCCCCCCGCCTTTGGGCGTGTAATGGATGGAGGGAGTTTTTGGATGGCTGCGTGGGTGGGTGGGTGGGTGGGTGGGTGGGTGGGTGGGTGGGTGGATGGACGCGCGGACGGGCTTCTGTGGCCAACGAGAGGCGCGCGACATCTTTTTGCGTGTTTGCTTTGGGATGCCAAGGCTCCAGCGGAAGAAAGCCATCATCGACGAGTCGCGAGAAGCTGTGGAGAGGCGCAGCGATGAAGGCTTCTTTGTTGAACGCCGTTGATTCATTCGGACATTGTTTCTGCGGCGAATCAGGGCCGCCTTCCAGATCATGTGATCAACGCATCCTGCAACAGCGCCCGAATCGGGCAAGACGTCTCATTATCCAATCTTAAGGACACAGCCAGATCGTTGCAACCTCGGGTTTTCAACAAAGCCACCACTGCATCCCATCGCGCTTACCGGAAGATCTCTTGAGGCAGTTTCTTCAGTGTTTGGTGGTGCCTCTTTGCCTTGCCAAATATATAATCTGTGAATCTATGTGTATCCGACAAAGTGGGGAGGCTTTGCGCTGCAAGGGGTCTCCTTATTTGAACAGCAACCATGTCGGGGGTGTTTTCCCAAGGCAAACAATAACAGCACCAGCCTCAGTACAGATGGGCTTCACCTTGTAAGCGCCTCGGCTGGACAAGTCTGGACAGGTGGCACTTGAATGGTGACTCGAAGTGAGGCAAAAGTATGTAGTATGCCAAAGTGTTGTCGAAATTGCGTCCCCTTCAGAGACGTCGTACTGTGCAGTGCTTGCGGGGATTCCCAAGAAGAGCTAACCATCAACGTATTGCAGAGGGCCAAACTCCTGACAAGATGTTGTTTAAGACAAAAGCGCCTGCAGCCTTTCGTTGGTTTGGACAGAACCCGTTCAAAGCTGGTGGCAGCTTTCCTGGGAGAAAGCCTACACTGCCAGATTCATCGCTTCCGTGGATGCGCAGAAGGCCCTTCTTGAGAGAGTTGGGCTGTGGCTTGGAGGTCGTGGTTGGGGTAAGCCAAGGGTACTCGTTGTAGACAATCGCTTGATTCGTTTCGGACATATATGGGTGTGGCTCAAAATTTAACAGGAGGGGCCACGCAGGTTTTGATTTTATGCTTCCACTTACCAGGGCCAACTCATTTTGGAATTCCGGTTTTTTGAATTCGCCACAGCCATATATGCTTGCAAGTTTGTGGATAAGAGACAAATCTAGTCCAATGGGGGCTGTTGACCCGCTTGAAGAAGGCGCTCCCCGAACTAAAATGTGACACGCTGCACCTGGGGCTCCTAACTTGTTCCTCACCTGGTGTTGTTTTTTTTTGGGCTGGTTCGTGGCCGGTGATTGTATATACCCCTTTTCGCATACCCCTATGAGCCCGATTTCGGTGGACTGTATGCCCTTCAGTCAGGCAGGGCGTGGTACCAGATGTGTTGCAGTTTTGCTTCGGGAGGCAGCAGGCAGGGGTCGCAGGCGCAAGATATCCTTCCTCAAAACCTGTGGTTTGCTGGAATAGGCTCATTGCCTTTCGTTCCTGCCATCTTCTCCGCAGCAGGTCAAATTCCATGCTTGAAAGGGCTGGCCTAAACATGACCTTGGTGGGTGGCTCGGTTGCTTCCCCCATAAAAGTGGTCAGCGACCCGCCCTCCTAGTTTTATTACTAATTATTCCAGGGTGCCGGCTGCAATGTTGGTTTTTGTACCCTCTAGCACGGAACCTGACTGCTGGAAGACAAGTTTCCTTTAGGGACCTTCTGGTATGTTCGATGCCTTTGGATTAAAGGGTGAGCCTAGGGGTAGTGTAGGACTGCAGGATTGAGCATGAATCCGGAAGCCGGTTTGGGTCCGGAAATGGGCACTTCCTGAAGGTTAGGGTTTTGGGGTTGGTGTCCTCTACCCCACCTCGCCCCATACTTGGCGTCCTTTTGGCCTTTTGGGTTTCCTTCAAGAGGCAAGCCAAAGAGGATCGCCAACACAAAGGAAATCCTCACAGAGCGCCACCCTCGATACAGGTGTTGCTGGGATATTGCAGGTTGTTCTGACCGCAGGACGAGACGGTCAGGCAGACGCTGGAAAAAGTGGACCTGCACTCAGTCGGCAGTGAAGATGTACGTATCAAAATTGTTGGAACTCTTTGAATGCTTGGTTTGATGTTGGTGCTTAAGCAGGCGTTCCTAGTTTTGACATGCAGCTGGCGATTCCTGATGATTTGTTGCAAGCTTGGCTACAATTGTGCAGATATGATGGCCCACATATCATCTTGGCAACGCTGCTGTGGTGCCATGCTTTGCCGGGACTCATGAGACACATCGCCAGTTTCCCTTACTGCGTGGCCAGCTGATCCAGAGCCAGCTCTCTCGCGCGCGAGTGGGCGCTGAGGACCTCCACTTCCGGGACGTCTTCGCGCACTTGGCGCCCGCCCCAGACTGGGCGAGGGGCGAGGGGCGGCGAGCCCTGCGCGGGCGGAAAGGACGTGGATCTCACGTTGTTTTGGGTGGCGCCGGAACGAGCCCAAAGTGCATGTCAATTTCAGAAAGGCAAGATAGAACTGGAGTCATGTTTTCGACCGTTTCTGAGGGTTATCAAAGTCAGAAACTGGGGCGGTTTCCCTTCCACCTACCATTTGGGTTGACTTTGATGCTGGTAGAAGAATGTGGCCAGTAGAAGGGACCGGCCGGAAGTGACGATCCAAAAGAAGAGTTAGGGACATCAGGTTCCAGGGTAGAGGGCATCGATTCTTCTCACTCCCGAAAAATCGCATGCGATTTCGGCTTGAAAGGTAGCCATCTGGTATCGGCCATGTGTTGCGTGTTGGTGGGTTTTAAAAGGACACCAAAAGGAAAGACGCCATTTTGCAGGGTACCAACTCCAAAAAAGACACGGTCGATCACTTCCATTTGCTTAGGAATATGTTTTTTATTTCCCCTTCTTGGTTTTAAAGGGAATCGATTTCACTACTGGACATATCTTCTCATTTTTTCCCTTTTGGCTTAAGCAATGGAAGGGGTGCCATGGTCACCCCATCGGTCAGTTTTTCTGATCGAAACCCAACAGCAACCGCTATTTTGCAGGGTACCAACTCCAAAAAGGACACAGATGGTCAACTTTTTCCCTTGTTGGCTTAGGCAAATGGAAGGGGTATCATTGTCACCCCATTGGTCAGGTTTTTTGAGCCCAGCCGCTGATGGGTTGCCAAAGAGCCCCTGAGGTCCAGGGCGGCGTGGGCAAGCTGCGCATGATCAACGCGCGGGACAAAATCATCGAGTCCGAGGATCGGGGGGGCGGGGGAACCAAAAAGGGGAGCCAGCCGTTTTGGGTACCCTCCCACCAACTAACATGGGTTTGAGCTGGTGGTAGACTTGGGATACATTTTACATTTTACCAGTGACTCAAAGTGAAGCAAACAATAAAATATACATTCTATGACTGGGCCTAACTCTAATCATGGGAGTACCATTTTGGGTACTTTGTTGTTTTTTTTTGAAAGCACGCAACGCGAATTTGGGTACTGTTCAGGTCTATTATGTTTGATCCCGTGAGACCTCGTTCGGGAATTCTGTAAGTTAAGGAAGCCAGCCATTGTTGGGGGTTCCCCTCGAGAAAAGCCCATAATGCCAGCCAGATCTTGTCCGGGCGCTGGCGAGCGGCAAAAGATTCGGCTTTGAGGTGTCGTTTTGCTCATTTTGCCCAGTTTGCCTTGACATGGTCATGTCCGGACTGTTTGTTTGCACCTTAAGCCAGGAAGCAACAACTGGAAGTGGGGCTGAGCAAAATCAGCAGCGGCACCTGTAGCGGCAACATAGAAGCCTCCCACGGCGCCTCGTGTTTGACTGTCACACTCGAGGAACATTCAACAAAAACAGACAGCTTTTAACAAAAAGCCACAGCATTCTGTTGCTTCACACTCTCAACAAGGCCCAACCTTGACAGCCTCACTCTCAACTGGTCTTTGTAAGCCTTGCAACGATGTCGACGCCTGATATTTCGCCAATTTTGCGCCCAGACGTCAACACACTGCAAAAGGGGGAGCCTTTGTGTAATGAGCCATCATGGAGTTGGGTCGCTTCTCGTGAAGATCGGGGCTAATCTGAGGCCGGTCAGCGACGCCCAACAAAAATAGAAGATCAGCGAACACCACATTGTTCTACTGGGGCCCCAGTTCCGGTTCGGTCCTTTTGGGTGCCTCGGTTCTGTTTTCCGGGCTTAAGAATTGATCAACACGGGGAAGCAGAGTGATGAGTTGGCGGTGTGCAAGTTGCCCACTGTCTACTATTGGTTTAGTGCTTTTAGTTTTTGTTTCTGTATTGGCTTAGTGTCGGCTGAATATTGGTTAGCAAAGTTTAGCACCGGTCTTGTATTGGTTCTAAAAGGCCCCATACGACTAGATTTGGGCCCGGAGGGGAGAATCATGGAAACTGCTTAGTGTTGGTTGAACATTAATATGAGCTTCGTGATTTCGGAAGCATGTTGTTCATTTAGGCAACCTTCAGCAGGAGGCTTAGTTTTCTATGGCATTTGGGTCTGCCTTGTGGAAGAGGCCTTTGGTTTGCCCGCAGCTTACTTCCCCAGCGCCTGGACTCCCTAACTGGAACGGTTTTGGTGGCAGAGAACGTGGGAACAACAATTAGTGCATTTACACAAATCAGGGTTGTACGACTGCTTGCTGTGCCACCAAGGGTCCACTTTGGTGTCATACGCAGTCAGGGAAGCCATCATTGACAGCATCTTGGGGCCATTTCCTGTAGATTTTCCTGTAGCCAAACCCTTTGAACCATGCAACACCTAAAGGTAAGAAGCGAAACCCACTGTGGCTTGCCTGGAAGCACTGGGTAACTCAAGTGAGGACGCCGTCCTGTTTTGGCACAACTCGGCTCGTTTTTGCCGCAGGAGACCCCGGCCAGGATGGGGGAGGCGGGCATGACACTCAGCCATGGCCATGTGCATCTTTGCAAATCGCAAGGCCCTCCATGGCCTCGATGTCTTTGGTGGTTTTTCTGTGTCAATGACAGGGCCCGTTGTTTCTTTTTTTCTTCTCATTTTTTTTCTCCGTTTTTTGTTTACTTGTTTTTCCCTTTTTCCTCATTTTTTTTCTCGTGTTTTTTTCGGGTGAACGCTTCCCCAAGCCCGTCAAAAGGCCAAGAGACTTCCCCAGCGTCCGGTTTGGACACATTTCTCGTGCCTGGGGGCCTTTGGTATTCACCCGTTCGGTGGGGTTCCACACGGTTGCCGTGCAGGTCTTCGTATTTGCCAAGGGGTTTTGGTGCAGAGACTAGGTCCCCCAGCTAGGTGCCCTTTTACCGTTTCCTTTTTAGGGTTTATTCTAACCTCTCTACTGGAGGACCTGGGGAGAACATAGTTTCTCAGTTCGGTCTCTTGCTCCGCAAAAAACACTTTTACCCCAATGGCGCCTTTCTTTGGCCGCATTTGATCGAAGCCGTTTGCCGTTTCGTTTGGTTGGAAGGAATGGGTGCAAATGACACAGGGGTGACACCTGACTTGGTCAGGGAAACTGACTTGGTCAGGGAAGGGGCTCTGGGAATGCCCCACAAATCTCCCAAAGTTGGAAGCCGCCAGTTGGATTCCAACTCATTCCCGGGTTTTTAGGAAGGTCTTGGGCCAATTGAAAGTGATCTTTCCTGTTGGCGTGATGAGGCGGAAATCTGGGGGACCCTTGCGCTGACTAGTCCCCCAGTAGTGCCCTTTTACCGATTCTTTTTTGAGGAGGGTTCCCAAACTAAAACAGACTGTATACAGCAAAAAAGGGTTCCCATTATTCTAACCTCTCTACTGGAGGACCTAGCTGAGAGCCCGGCCAGACTCGCCGCAGGAGGATGGCACCGTGGGGGTGCGCATCGAGGTGTCCTTCACAGGCCACAGCCTCGGTTTTCAGACGCCCCAGAACGCCAGCGGAGTGCCCGCACCGAAAACCTTTGCGAAAAATACGAGCCCCCCAAAAAACGGGTTCCTTCTAGCCTTTCCTGGTACTCGAAAAACCTACAAAAAAGGGGGTGGGCAGCCAAAACCGGGTTCACCTGCTACTCGTCGAAAACCAGGTTTTCGGTTGAAGAACCTGGTTTTGCTTCCTGAAACCCGTACAAAAAAACGTACAAACCCCGTATAAAAGCAGTATGAAACCCGTATTTTCCGTATTATTTTTGAAACCCAGGTTTCTCCTCTGAAAACCAGGTTATGTTTTGGAACTCGCTTTTTTGTAGGATGTTGGAGGTTGTTTTTGGGGACACGGCTTCTTGGAGCCCGTGCGCAGGCCAGCAAAAAACCATCGGACCTTTTGACTAGTTCGAGACACCCAAAAGAAACAAAACCCATCGGGACCTTTCGGACCACGAAAACTGAATCTGGGGGGGGGAGGGGGGTGTGGGGGGGGAGTCAGTGGGATCCTGCACGGCGGCAGTTTTTCAAAAGATAGTGCCAGTGCAAAATGATGGCTTTCGCATCGTTTTGTCTTCGGGTCCTCCCGAACACACTTTTTTGTCCCTGGTGATCGTATTTGCAACACTGCGTGTTGATACTTCCACACGCAGGCCATACGAAACAGCGGTACGCCGGGCTCCAAGAAGCCATGTTGCCTTGTTTTGGGGTTTCCTCCTTTTCGTTTATTTACCAAGTGAGCCCAAATGGCGCCAACGGTCCCCCCCTTTTATTCGTCTTTCTTTGGGTTGTCCTGTCGAATGGTTGGCCCTTGGAGCCCAGCCGAAGTGGGGCCTCGGCCAGGGATACGACTTTCGTAGGCCGGGCTGGGCAAATTCGTTGCATTTGAAGTTCATTTGAAGTTCATTTGACGTCAAGATGGGCGATACATGGCGTTTGTTTTTTTTAACGCCGACCCGGGTGACCCATAGTGAGAAGATGGCTTTTGTGCTCAACGTTTTACTACCATCCCCTTTCACTGCCATCAGGACAGGCGATTGCTCCCCAAGTTCCCACGCCAGTTTGAAGAATGATATTGACTTGTGAATCGGGGTTCGTAAAATAGACTGGTTTCCTGTTCGGTTTGCCTATAAAATACCAACCAAAGGGGGCCATTTTAAGAATCACAATGAAACCTGGAACCCCGCCTTGTGCAGCGAGTCTAAGTTTGTTTTTGGATATGTCGGCATTTGGCACCCACGGTGTCATGCGGTACCGCCGCAAGAAACGGGGCACCCAGACGGGCTGCACGCGAAGTTCTGCAAAGATAACAGCACATCTGACAGCGAGCCCGGAAACCAGGGAAGCGACGAGCTCACTAAAGCTCCTTTTCTTGGCTGTGCCCCTTATCTCAAAGGAATATGGTGAAGTGTGCTCCCTTACGCGTGACAAGCTAACGCGGTTCTGAAGCCCGTTACCAGTGTTTGCCTTCAACGCCAGTCGAACAACAGGAGGGGTTGCCATGTTACATGTTGCATCATGTCGCCTCATTGCCTGCCATTGTTGCAGCCCTGTGGAGAATACATTGGATACCGAATCCATTTTGCGGATGCCACCTATGTCCATGCATTCTTGTGGCCACCTTTTGGCCACAGCGCGGGCGTCCAAGACGCCACGTGCCAAGGCCAGCAGACATCTTTCCTCACCATGAACCAGCTGTCTGGAGGGCAGAAGACAGTTGTAGCCGGGCGCCGGGCATTCCACCATCAAACCACAAAACAGGCCTTGGTCACAAGTTTCAATTGGGTCAACGTGAGGAACCTGAGCTTGGGGAGCCTGGGTCAGAGATTGAGAGTTAGGGACTTTCGAGACTACTAAGACTAGGAGCATCGCGCGCCCCTCTCTTCTGCAAAAGGGGACCCTCATCCACTGTTGCCGGTCCCGGGCAACACAATTCTGACTTACACATGGTTGTCGTTGGGAAACATTTTGCATTTTTGCTTATTGTGGTTTAGTGGGAAATCCCCACTTAACTGCTAAAATTCAAATTTGTGTTCCCCTTCCGACGTCAACCAAGTACATGTCCAACGGCAGTTTCCTGCAGGGCACCTCTTACATTCCGCTTAAGCCATGAGGCAACCTTCTGCCAACATCCATAAAATTGGTCAAAAGCAGACGGTGCAACACGCCAAAGTTTTGCTTGGCACTGCAGTCGGATGACCTCGGGACACCGAGGAGTAGACCAAATCAAAACGCTGGAAATCTGCAACGCGAGCGTTCACCTGAGCTGGGCTGTTCTGTTTCTCCATGCTACCTATGCTACCTGTGGTTCCTCAGCCATACTGTGGCCGAAATTCTGCACCACTTGGAAACCCAGGGGTTCCATTGTTGATTGGTATTTGCAGGAAAATCGATTCATTCCAGGGCTTCTTAGGTGGTGCAAGATTTCGTTCATCCACAGTAGGGACCCCCCTTTTTAAAGCAACCAAATGTGTTGGGGGGGGTTTAAAGGGACATTTCCGCAGGGAAAAAAAGCATCGTCCGATGCAACCCCCACTGAGGCCATTTCTTTGGTCTTCGCCATCCAACGCTTGGAGCCGGCGAGTCCCGGTTTGGTGAAACGAATTCGGTGGATTCGTTTCGACCCCACTGGAGCGACGGAACATGGGCCTCGGGCCTGGGATCGTGACCTTCGCGAAGCTGGGGGGGTGACATGCAGTTTGCGGCGGAAAAGGGGTAGGCAAGTGGGTGTGGCTCAACAGTAAACAGGAGGGGTTACGCAGGTTTTGGTCCATGTTTCCACTTACCGGGGTTCCATTTCGGTACCGGGTTTTTGAGCCACGGCCAAGTGGGTCCTTCTGTGGATGGTTGCAAAATCAATTTCGCACCACTTGGAAACCATAGTTGAAACTATTGTTTGTTGGTCTTTGCAGGGGAATCATCCTTCCAGGGTCTCTGAGGTGGTGCAGGATTTCGTCCATCCACAGTTTGTCCACTTTGAAAGGTAAACCAAAGGAAACCAGTTATTTTAGGTATGGCTATCTTGAGTAATTCCCCCCTCCCCCAGCAAGGCCTTACCAAGGGGTGTGTGGGTGAACCATTGGGGCGGATAGGGAGAGTTAGTCGGAATCCTGTGAAACACTAACTCGCAACACCCTGCGGATTCAAGCCGGGCTTCCCCAAATCACTTCAAACAAGCCCTCGCTGAGTGAAGGGTGCTCTTTGGCAAAGGCTGCCAGTTTTGTCTGGTCATATGGTCAGGGTGTATCCATTGCTTACCCCGTAGCAAAGGGAAATGGACCCTCGGGCAAAGGGTCCATTGCCGACTGAGGACAGAGGAAGGAAGGCACACCCTTTCTTTGATGCTTCCCCAATCCGCACAATTCTGGTGTTGTCATTCCCAACGAAATTGGCCTTTGAGTTGCAGCTGGATTCCGTGGTAGATTTCACCGAAAGGCTGAATCAACCTTGTCTGAGCGCAACTTTCCTGTCCACATGCTGCTGAGGTCAAGTGAGCTTATTGTCTTCTGGTCGAAAAACTTCTCGTGGCTCTGGAAAAGACCGATGCACGGAACTGGGCATGAACCTGAAGACTGTGCGTTCCCCACCGAAATTGGATGACAGGCTAGATAGGAAGGGATCCCTCAAAGAGGGCTGCCACACCTGTTGTGGGTCCCTTAATTTCCATTGAAACAAGGGCCGAAAAGCAGCCTGTACTACTGGTCTTGGCCAATTGATCGTTTTGGCTTTGCTTGGTTGGGTGTTACTTTTTTGACTCTTGACCTTTATTTTTACCGAACTTCTTGGACAACTTTTGCCGGTTTCTTGGGCCTTTGAAGTCGGGCTGTTGGCCGCGAGGCGCCCTTCTACCTCTTCGACGAGATCGACGCGGCGCTGGATGCGCAATACCGCACCGCCGTGGCGAGGCGAGGTTTGGGGGAGCGATGTGCAAAAGACTTTGCTACTTAGGAAGCCTGCTCTGAATGAAGGAAGCCAACAGAAAGCCAGCATTTGCGGCAGCCCCAAGCGTTTCCCACTCTGATACTACCCTTGAGACTACCATCCCATTGAGTCAGCTTCAAAATATCCAAACATATCTTTATGTAGGAGCGTTTCAGGCACATGTTGTTTTTTTGCTTTTTCTTGGAACGCGACACGGGACGTCAACAAAAGGAAAGCGATACCCCCCAAACCTGAGAACAGACACGGACAACAACACGGACTTCCTAACAGGCCCTAACGTTGGAATGAATGCACCCCCGACAAGGTAGGTTTGACGCCGACTTATTCCCGCACTGGTTGATCTCTTTTCTCTAGAAGGCCCAAACTGGCCGGTCACCTCAGCAAGTGGGGGTTGATCAATATACGGTTCGGCTCCACAATGATCGTGTGTAACTTTCCCATTTATAATGGTGAAAGTCATCTTCTTTGTGGTTTGCATGATGGTCATCCCATATAAAGGACCTTTGGATCAACTCCCCAAGTGTTCAAGTTGGGTTTGGGTTCTATATGGGGTAGGTTTATGGATATGATTGCCCTCAAAATTCGGGACCAAACCAGGTGTTTTTGGTGTCGGTTTTCTTGCAGACCGTCTAACACGGCTTCCCCTGTTTTCAGACAGCAAATGGTGAAGTAGGTTTTGTTCAATCAGCTACACTTGAATGTCACCCGCCGTTCAGTGCCCTAACCCAGTAACATTTCGCTCTACCAACAAGAGCAAACAAAAGGCTAGGTCAGGCCTTTCTCCGAGCCCTTCCATGCCAGGAAGCTATTTGACCGCAAAGCTTACCCCAGTGTGTATCCATCCCAACCGGCTTTTGTTGACTCTCTGCCCACCAGGTTGAACCAGGGTGCCCTTTTTACACCGAGGAACCCCAACGTTTCACAGCAAAAAGCAGAGCAAAGCACACGGGCAGAGGCCAACTCCGTGGGCAAAACTTGGCGAGTTGAGGCTGATTGCCAAGGACGCCAAGAACGCCCAGATGGAGCTCGCCTCGGACTGCTCAGCTTTGGGCAACACCTTAGGTTTCAACCCAATTTGGATACACACACACACACAGACACACACACACAGACACACACGTGGTTTGGCTTGGTGAAGTTAGGTACTTAAAGCTTCACCACCTCAGAGACGGTGGGGGAACATGATCTGTCAGGGCACCTCTGTTTCTCCGTCCATGGGATGTCCAGCATGCAATTTGATTCTCAGCGACAGCTTTTGAGGCTTCATCTTTCCCGCGCATTTTTTTGGTTTTGGATTGGCAGTGCGGTACCTGCTGGGCTCGTGCTTCACGCGAGCCACTTGCTCAAAGCCTGGCTAGCCACTCAGGTTGGCAAGGATAGTCCCAACCACAGGTGCGGCCGCCTTTTTGCTTCTTTATATGGTACACGGGGTACACCATACCAGGTTTTGATTACGACTCACATCAGATTTGGCCCAAGCTCCCTGCGCACTTCTGTTCGAGTTTTGGGTGCCGATGACTACATTGCGCCGGGCCACGCGCGAGGGAGCCTTAGGCCGGCCGCTGGATGCTCTATGCCTGGAGCCCCCGCACAGGCAAAGAGGGGTTTGAGGAGGAGTTGTTTGCCGGGTGTAGAACAGTTGCAACGGTTGAGAACAAATTCTGGACCTCAATGTGTCCCATTTAAAAGGGTCCATTTAAAGCGGAGTGTCTTTTAGGTGGGAGGATGTTTTAGGGGGAAACCATTTGCGGGAGCCCTTTTTTTTTTTGGCCGCAGGTTGCCCATGGTTTGGCCCTTAGTCAGGCAGATGAACGTCAGCCTGGCGAAGAAGATCGCGGGCGCCGGGTATGTCGGGGCAGCTTGCTTCCTAGAGCCCGGGCCAGCTGTTCAAAAAATGGAAAACGCTTGGATGACATGCTAGCGGTAAACGCAACCTCGCGTCCCAGTGGGTAAATCCTGAATCGGAGACTTGTCAACCATGGTAAACGAATTGCTAGATCAAGCACCGAGTATCAAAAAACAAATTTCGGCAATGGCTGCCCTCGTAAGCCTTCTGTGGCACTCGGGGGTTGACGTTGATCATTCATTCGTAGGTCCAGCAACAGCGTCCTAAGGTTCTATGCTTTCGTTTGGACGAGTTTCAGCATCGGCTTTGAAATGTCGGTGGTCAATCTTAAATGCATTTCCTTTAGGCAGGGCCGATGATTGCAGAGGGCACGACGAAGGAACACTCGCCGTTTGTCACCGAAACAATAGACAAGTTGTTTCTTAGGGATCTTTCGGTAGAGGGTAACATACAGCATGTGTCTAGGGGTTGATCCCCCATTCTTTTCAACCATCGTTCTTTCCAAAACCGGCTCCGTTTTCCCTGGGTTTCCGGAGGGTTTCTAGAAAGATCCGGATCCCTGGAAATGGAAATGGAAGGTACCCCTAGAATGTGCAGGTCGACCTGTTGCGCGCATCCCTTGGCTCAGGACAAGGAGCTCGCCTTGCCTGTGCTCAGCTGTCGCACCCCAAAGTCTGGTGACAAGAACGCCCGGGGAGATGGTCCATTCGGAGATGCGATCACAGCGATACAGCAAGTGTCCGGCATATAGAGAGGCCCTGCGGCGAGCATTTGCGGCTTAATTCGAGCGAGCCAACTCAGGTGAGATGGTTGGAGCGCTGCTTAACAATTTGCGGCTTGTGCGAACAGCTGCGCATAGGCTCATTCCCTTCAAGAGTAGGTTTCGAGCCATGCCCCATGGGCCCATTTGCCATTTACGTGGCAACCAACGTGTCCACGTATGGCACTTGGAGACACTTGGGAATTCCAGTGCCAATGCATGTCCCCGTTGTTGATTGGAAAAGGTGTACAGGATAGCATATGGTTTTACATGGCTTTCATGGCTCCCAAGTGGCTTCACCTTTGGATTTTGTCTTCAAGTTCGACTACTTTTGGGCGGGTCTTTTTTTAAGGGTACCTTGGTTTTAAACGGAAGCCAACAGGAACACCATTTCGGGGGGGGGTCCACTGACAGAAAGGCACACCCTTTGGCCCCAGTCGGCACTTTTCGAGCGGCATTCACTGCCTCCCAGTCCGCGTCCCTGGCTTGGACCGGACCACATGTTTCCTGCACCAATCTTGTGGGGATGCATGTCCATGCGATCCCTGATTTTGGAAGCCCGCCAACTGCCGGGGCTGCCACAGGGCGAAAACATATATAGACAAATGCACGACGCGAGGAGGGCCCGGTCCTCTTCAAGACCCACAGTCAGCGGCAAAAAGCTCCGAGTTTGTCCGATCCGTCCAGATCCATCAGCTTCCGGGGGTCAACTCTCCTCGAAAGCCAAGGGTCGACGATTTCAGCGCAGAAACGAAACGCGGACGTGTCTATTGTTTTGTGCTTTTTTTCTCTATGGAGGCTGCAGTCTTTGAGCGCCCACCTTGGTTGCCAATCTCGCATTGGAGCCTGGGATTTGAAAAGGGATGTTCGCCTAAAAGGACATGCTTCATTTGATTTAGGGAAACGAGGTCATGTGTATATATATATATATGTATACATATACATACATTTCCTGAGACTTCACCAGTGACCCAAGTGGCCTTCGTTTGCCTGATTACTCCGCTCAGCAACCAGCAGGCCATACTTGGATAGCATACCATCACATCACAGCCCAAGCCTATGGGTACAAGCAACTCAGGGAAGGTATTCAACAGACATATTGTTTGCCTGCTCAGTGATTGTTTTTCCCACGTGCCGTTTTCGGCGCCGTTTTCAAAGGCTGGCGCGAATCCGAAGCAC